CCGCACTACGGCGTCTCCGCCGCCCGCCTGGGCGCCGCGCGGCAGGCGTTCCCGTCGGGCGCCACGGTGCGCGCCGCTGACGGCATGATCTACTCCACCATCAACACGCCCATCGCCTCCACGCTGCCCATCACCACGCAGCCGGCCTCGGTGCTGCGGCCCCTGCTGCGCGGGCTCTACCGGCCCTACGGGCCGGGCGGCCTCGCGGCCGTGCCCCTGGCCAGCCTCACCAGGGTGCCCGTGGTGGCGCCGCGCATGCCGCTGCCGGCGCAGGGCTTCTACCGCTACCCGGCGCCCGGGCGCTTCCCGGCCGCCTCGGCGCCGGCCGTGATGGAGACGCCCGTGTACCTGGGGAAGCCCGTGAGCACCGCGACGGGCGCCGTGGCCAAGGCTCCCGGCACCACGGGGCCACAGAGAGCGGAGGCCGCCCGGGAAGAGGGGCCGGCGGCGGGCGCCAAGGAGAGCGTCCAGGCGGCACCGGCGGCGGCTGCCGTTCCCAAGGCCGAGGCAGCTCCGGCCGCCGGACCGGCTCGCGACGAGAGGGAGCGCGAGGAGGAGCGGCAGCGGAAGCAGCAGGAGCACGTGCTGCAGCTGGAGCGGGAGCGCGTGGAGCTGGAGAAGCTGCGGCAGCTGCGGCTGCAGGAGGAGCTGGAGCGGGAGCGCGTGGAGCTGCAGCGGCACCGGGAGAAGGAGCAGCTGCTGGTGCACCGCGAGCTGCAGGAGCTGCAGTCCATCAAGCACCAGGTGCTGCAGCAGCAGCAGGAGGAGCGCCACGCGCAGCTGGCCCTGCAGCGCGAGCAGCTGGCGCAGCAGCGCCTGCAGCTGGAGCAGATCCAGCAGCTGCAGCAGCAGCTGCAGCAGCAGCTGGAGGAGCAGAAGAGGCAGAAAAGCGCCTTCGCCGGCGAGGCCGCCGCGCGCCTGCCACCCGCGCCCGACGGCGCCGCCGACGTGCCGAGGGGCCTGCCGCCCAACGGGCAGTTCTGGCCGCCGCCGGGCCAGGCCTTCGTGGGGGCGCCGGGCGCGGGGCAGGAGGCGCCCGCCGGCCCGCGCTACCCCGGCCTCCCGCGGCCGCTCAGCAGCTCCGCCTCGGACATGTCCCTGCAGGCCGAGGAGCCCTGGGAGGCCGGCCGCGGCATGAAGAAGCGGAACTCCATGCCGCGCCTGCGCGACGCCTACGACAAGGAGGTGGTGGTGAAGAAGATCGCCGACAGCAGCGTGCAGACGGACGAGGAGGACGGCGAGGAGCGCTACCTGCTGTCGCGGCGGCGGCGGCCGCGCCGCAGCACCGACTGCAGCGTGCAGACGGACGAGGAGGACAGCGGCGAGTGGGAGCAGCCCGTGCGGCGGCGGCGCGCGCGGCCCTCGCGGCACGCCGACGCCGAGGGCAAGCCGGAGGGCGCCGCCCGCGGCACGGCCAGCGTGGCCATCCAGACCATCAGCGACTGCTCCGTGCAGACGGAGCCCGACCAGCTGCACCGCGTCTCGCCCTCCATCCACATCACCACCCACGACCCCCGCGTGGAGATCGTCAAGTACATCTCGGCGCCCGAGAAGACGCAGCGGGGCGAGAGCCTCGCCTGCCAGACGGAGCCCGAGGCGCCGCCGCCGGGCATCGTGGTGCCCCAGCTCACCGTGCCCACCACCATCACGCCCTACTCGGCCAACCTGCAGATGGGCAGCGCCGGGCCCCTGGACCCGCACGCCGTCCGCCAGCCCACGCTGGGCAAGTTTGAGAAGAAGAAGCCGGACCCGCTGGAAATCGGCTACCAGGCACATCTGCCCGGCGACTCCCTCTCGCAGCTGGTGACGCGGCAGCCGCCCAGGTCCCCGCAGGTCCTCTACTCGCCCGTGTCCCCGCTCTCCCCGCACCGCCTGCTCGAGTCGTCCTTCGCGACCAGCGAGAGGCTCAACAAGGCGCACGTGCCGCCGCAGAAGCACTTCACGGCGGACCCGGCGCAGCGCCAGCAGAGCCTGCCGCGGCCCATCAAAACCATGCAGCGCTCGCTGTCCGACCCCAAGCCCATCAGCCCCACGTCGGAGGAGGCCGGCAAGGACAGGTTCTCCCTGTACCAGCACCCGCTGCTCCCGGGCAGCCAGGTAAGCGAGCTCGGGGAACCCTCTTGGGTGAGCAGCAGCATCAGCCCCAGTCTTTGCTGGGGCTGATGGCACTGAAGGGAAAGGGAGCAGGAGGGTCCTGGCACGGGGAATTGCCCCCGTGCTGCCTTCTGCCCTTTGCCTGGGCAGGGTTTTCCTCGGGCCCTCGCCTGGTGCTCCCGGACCTCGGGTCTCCCACAGCCTGGGGCTGCGGTGGGTGCCAGGGGCAGGGCGCTGGGGCCCCGTGTGGCTGGGGAGCAGTTTGGGGCAGTGCAGCCCATTCTGGTGAGGGAGCTACGTGGGCAGCACTGGCAGAGAAGGGCATGTGGATCCAGGCCTTCCCACCAACTCCTCGGTGCCCGGGGGAGCCGACCGGCAGCCCCTCCACATCCCTTTGGGGTTCAGTGGCACAAAGTGGCCATCGAAGGAGGACTGCAGAGAGGCAACTGGAGACGGGCTGGCTTTGCAGGCTTGGATCTGCCGGCCGGAGGTAGCCAGAGGCACTGAAATCCCTGGCAAGCAGCAGGAAGGGAGGAGCTCATGGAGGCGCTGGAGGAAAGGCAGCCTCGGCACCTCGGCACGAGCCCTTCCCCTCCCAGGGCTGAGGCAGGGGCCGGTTGCTGCTCCTCCCGGCTACCGGAGCCCGTGCCCAGCGGCTGCCAAGCTCGGTGCCCCCAGCACCGTCCCGGTGCCAAGCTCCGTGCCGACGCGCTCTCCTTCCGCTCGCCTTGGTCTCCCGCCCAGCGCCAGCGAGCAAAGACAGAGTAAAACCGCTAAGAGCAGAGCGGTTTGCGGGCTGGACCGCGGCGGAGCCTCTTGGCCCGGCTTCCCAACGCAGGGAGCAGGTTGTGCCCAGGTTCCTGGCCCTCCCTCTTGCATGTAGAAACAGCCGGCTCCGCAGCAGGAGAGTGTCCGGCGAGGAGTCCCCTGCCCGTCCCCATGCAGCCCAGCCTGTGCCTGGCTCCCCAGACCAGCCTCATCCCACGCCGGAATAACCTTCCTCTTGGAGCGCAGCTCCAGGAGGCCCCAGAGGACCTCTCAGTCTCATTAGTGCTCCAGCAATTAATGTTTTCCAGGGCTGGCTGCCTGCAGCGGCCGGCGGTGCCTCCGGGCCCGTGCCGGTGCTCCGAAATCCTCGCGCCGGTGGCCGAGCAGCGGGGCGGATTGCAGCGTGTCACAGGGATGCTCCTCCAGCCCCGTGCCAGCTCCACACCGTTGGGCTTGCCACGTATCCATGAGCACAAAGGAGCTGGCAGCTCCTTCGTAGGGGCTTTTAGCCGCCCCTGTTCCCTTTGCCTACCCCAAAGAGCAAAACCGATGCAAAGTTTTAGCTTTCTCCCCACACCGAGACCGCCCCCCCAGGCACCCACCCCGAGGGTCCCTGCACGGCGTCCAGGCCTTGGCTGTGATTTGAGCGCAGAGAACGCCCAAAAACCCCTTTCTGCAGCAAATTGGGCTGCGATTCGGGAGGAAACTGCCCGGCACCGAGTGTGTCTGGGCAAGGGGCACGTCGCAGCGTTTCCAGCTTGGCCGCCGCTCGGCAGCTTTCTGCGAGGCCAGCAGCAGCCCCAGGCCCCTCCGCTGCCACATCCCCGCACCACGGCGAGCAGCCGGCGCGCGGTTTCACCGCAGCCCTTCACGGGGCGTCTCTGGTGGCGCACGCGGGGCCGGCGCGGCGCTTGGCCGGCCACCGCTCCCGGTAATCATTCATAGGAAGCGCCCTTTCGGTTACTTCCATCCTCCTTGCCCCGGTTTGATATCAACACGGCTCACGAGTGAGGGGCCACGCGCCAAAGCGTCGGCGTTGGCACAGAACGCCGGGCGCCTCGGCAGTGCTGGCGGAGCCCCCGTTCCTGGCTATCCCAGGGGGGGAAACATTCCCAATGGGGAGCCCGCGCTGGAAAGAGCGGCCTGGGAGCCCTGCGCTGAGGGTCCTTGGGGTGCAAGGAGCCCCTTTTGCCGAACGGGTGCTGGGCTGCGGGGCGGTGCGGAGAGCGGGGCCGCGGCGGAGCGCCGGGCGTGACGCGTCTCTGCTTGGCTCCTAGCTGGCCTCGCTGCAGGCGAGCGCGCTGACGCGCAAGGTGAAGCGCACGCTGCCCAGCCCGCCGCCCGAGGAGCCCCACGTGCCCCTGGCCAGCCAGGCGGCCCCGCACATGTACCTGGCGAGCCTGGCGCCCAAGGCGCTGGCGGGCGCCGCCGCCGCCGCCGCCGTGCAGGTCACCAAGGCCAGCCTGCTCAAGGACATCGACCGCGACCTCAAGCTGGTGGAGCACGAGTCCACGAAGCTGCGCAAGAAGCAGGCCGAGCTGGACGAGGAGGAGAAGGAGATCGACGCCAAGCTCAAATACCTGGAGCTGGGAATCACGCAGCGCAAGGAGTCGCTGCTCAAGGACAGGAGCGGCAGGGACTACCCCTACCTGAGGGGTCTGGGCGAGAACAGGGACTACATGTCCGACAGCGAGCTCAACAACCTGCGCCTCTCGGGCTACGAGGGCGCGGGGCTGCTCGCGCGGCCCGCCGCCGCGCCGCCCGCCCAGTACGCGGACTTCGCCGGCGCGCCCTACACCTCGGCGCCCTCCTACGGCACCT